TCATGAATTTAAACTTAATGGAATATACTACGTTGCCTGTATTTAAAATGTAGTCACTGTCTTCAAAGCAGAAGCTAACAAATATACAGAATCTAAAAAAGCTGATACTCGGAGCACTGGAGATTTTTACTACCCACATTCTAAGCCTGTTCAACGTCGGATTTCTTCACGTCTTGTGTCTCTTGACTACCTTAAATTTTTTGAACTCTCAAGTTTTGAATTCCTATGAACTTGCGATTCAAAGAATTCAACTACTATGCTTTAGCTGTAAGTTTTAGTAATAACGCTGTTTTTGCAAAGTCTTAGCAAAAAAAACCAAAATGGTTACAGTCAGTGACATATCCAGGATTTTTCTGACTTTAGACGAACCTATAACAGGTGTGTTTTTATACTTGAACGAGTCGAAAGAAATCATGCATTAGCAGCTCTTCTTTAATGGTAACTCACATTCAAAACATTGTTGCAATTTTCGGTTATTTTGAGCCTAAGATCAACTAATGACAATATATCAGTGTTATCACTATTTAGGGTTTGAAAATCAGAAAATGACAGAAACTTTATTTTCGAAAAGAAAAAAAAACGGGAAGCATCTTTCTGATTTGAAAACGTTTCTTGAGATTATTCTTGATGCCACAATGGAAAGCTTCAAACCAGATTACACTGTTTTTAAATGTTTCAAACTAATATTTTGCATCTGCTTCCATAGGTTTTAATAAATGTTATGTCGATAATTGTTGTTTTGATAGAACTATAATCCAATACCATTTGCTAGATGTTTTTCGATGATCAGAAGTCATATCACATCACGTTTAGAAACAAAACAAACATGTCTACTAGAATGCTGCAGTCACAACTTTTGAAAATATTAAAAGATCGTACGAATTTCTGCAACAAAATTGAATATCTTCAAATTAGACACCAGGAAACTGAGTGAATCCTACGGATCAATAATCATCGGACTGGTTTAGTACGGTGATGACAGAAACTTTCGAGTAGGAAGCAACAGAACCCTGCCACATGGTTTATTTAGAAAGAGTCTTCATAATGATTGCGCCATCGATCGAATTTAATTAATTTGATGTTAAATGTTCTAGAGAAAAATGAGTACTTTTTATAACAAATAAAATTTTCCCTAACCACATTTGAATATTTTAGAAATGCAGTTGATCAAAATCTCTTCCTTTTATATAAATTTAATTGTCTTTTCTCACTGAAAACTATATGGCTGTCATCTTTTGATAGTGTCTGCTCAAGTTCCACGGTCTTCAATCGAACATGGAAGAAAACAAAAATGAGGTCCACGTGTACTTATGAAGCAGAACTTTTGACGGTTTAAATGACTCCAATAATTAAGCATTTTTCTTGTGAATATTCAAATTATTGTAGAGTGTCAGGTTAGAACTTGAAATCTATCCATTAAAATCTCTCACATTATTGTTGCAGTCATTTCAAAGTTTCCAAACGATTTAAAAAGTTCCAAAATCGGCGAAAAAATGCAGATAAGCTAGTGTTGAATTGTGTCAACACAACAAATTGTACTGCGAAAAATAATCTAGTATTGGAAAAGAACAAAGATAGGTACTAAAGAGAATAACAACAAAAAATAAAATAGGCTAGAACTGTTCGTAATAATCATAAGTAGATGTTGTCCTTAAAAATAGAGCAAAGATGAAAACCATGCATATACAAGTGTTGATCGCAATTTTTCCGTACTCTTTTAAAGAAATAAGTAAGCAGAATCTCAGAACATTGGCAAAAAATATAAAAGCAAAGAAATCGAAAACAGGAGAAAGAAATTGTAAAAGCAGAAAAGTCTTGAAAAAATAGAACTTGTCTAATAAACTCTGACTTCTTTGCTCATTTCACAAAATTCCATCTCTTTGAGAAGATGATATCAACTTTGACCAAAAGGTCGATGATTGATTGTTAGAAAAGTGGTGTTTGGTTAATATGGGCCTAATGAAATAAAATCTTTTGATGCAAGTGGACCTCGACCTGGATCTCGCTTGAAAGTCTTATTTTGTAAAAATTTGGATAGCGATTCATTTCGATCAGTTTTGTTAAAAAAACCATGAGAATTGAAATGTTGATTGCTGTTGTGTTGTGAAATTGCTAATCATACTCGCTGTTGCATTGTTACATCTATCGTTTGATTATTTTTTTCAAAAGTGATCATTGAGTTTGTTTTTTGACGTCTAGAGTTGAAATCAAAAGGTGAACTTAAAATCTTGGTAGACAATAAGTAACAGAGTGGAAAAGAAAATAGATGGATGCTCAAAGGGTGTAGGTATGAATGTGGGTGTTTAAATAAGAAGTTTAACATCCACACCCTCAATTATTTAATTGTGCTGCTAAGATTGAAATAACTAAATAAATAGTAGCCATCTTTATTATTATTTGAAAGAGAGATTTTTCTAATAAAATATTTAAATCTGAAAGAGCATGATCAAATCTAGTAGAAGCTAATTTAAATTTAAATTTGAATTGAGATTAAATTTATGTAAAGTCCATTTCTATTGATTATGAATAAGAACAAATTAGAATTATATAAACAAATTTAATAAAGATTTTTGTTTTTTTTGTTGAATATAGAACAAACTGAATTAATGTCGATGATTTGAAGTGGGAAAATGAAGACGTTTTCCTGAAACCAATGATGGTAGTAATTCAAAAGTTTTTAATCTTTGAATTATAATATTTGATGGTGAACGACGATGATGATAGAATTTTTCTAGTGTTTGAGTTTGTTCTTTGATTGGATTTTTATTTGAAAATACCATATCACTTGATGATGATAAAAATTCTTTTCCAATATTAACTTTTGATAATATTCGTTCTTCTTCATTTCTATTAATCGAACAACGAAGAGAAACTATCAGAAATAAACAATAATTAATTTTTTCTTAAATGTTTTTTTGAAAATACAAATAATACATATATGAATCAATAACCTCTTTTACTTAGTCGACGATTTTTGGATGAAGGATTATCTTGATCAAACTTCGTTTCGAAAGAAGAACTTTCAAAATTGTTTGAAGAAGAAAAATCAACTGGTGTTACATTTAAAGCGAAACGTGCCGTTTCATGATAACTTAATGGAGATTGATGATTCTTAACTAATTTATTATTTAACGTAGCTTGACTAACTGTTCTAGATATTAACAATTGCTGTAATTTATCATATCGTTCCATAATTAACCTTGAATCTATTATTGGACCCGTTTTCGAAGGTATTTTTGGATGTCGAATTTGTACTAAAGGTATTTTTAAAAGGGTTCGTTTATGATTTATATTTGCTGTTTCACGAGTTAATAAACTTGTTAATTGTTCTTTTAATATTGATTTTAAACTTTTCTCATTAAGTGATTGATGAATTTGTTTTGATTGTTTTTCTCGTGAACTATTTTGAGTTTTTATTTGACGAAGTGAGAAATGAACTTGATTTGATGTTATTTTAGTTGATTTTGCTGAAACGAAATTAATTAATTAATTATTTTAAAAATGAAGTTGAAATATTGTTAACTAACATTGTTGAAAAGATTTTGATAATTGTTTATCTGCAATTGATGATAATTGTTCATCAAATGAAGATATATTTGAACTTTTATCATCTATTAAAAGATCTTTTTCTTTATTAAATAATTTTTTAAGACGTTCAGGAAAAAAATCATTTGTTATGTTTTTTGAATAGATAGAATCATTGTCAAAAAATGTTTCTTGAATATTATTTTTTTCACATCGAGGTAAATAAAGACCGATATCTTGATGAAAATCAATATTATGGTCATATATTGAATTATTTCTAATAATATTTGATGAAGACCAAATATCAAGATTATCAATCCATTGAGATTTATTAACAAAACGATGAAAACATTTTGATCGATTATTTGAACATTCAATTAAACATTTTGTTAATGATCGATCATTCCATGGAGAACAATATGAAACCATTGAGCTTTTCTTCAATAATAAAAAAAATCAATTTATCATCGTTTTTTTTTGTTTCATCAAAACAAAAACATTATTTTTCATTTTCGTTTTTCTTTTTTTTTCAATTTATTTTTTAACAATTGAAAAAACATTCTTAACCAATTGAAGTAAAAAGACTATTTAAGCACATATCGACATCAATCAACATATTTTCAACAAAAACAAAAAAAAAACTATTCATAATGACTTCGAACATTTCATAGACATAATAGACACTCTACAAAATTCTTTTTTTTTCTTAGCCTTGTCACTTCTTATTCTATTAACACAGAAACAAATTTCATTTAAAAACGGAAAATTATTTAAAAAAAATAGATCTACATATCTTCATCAAGAATTCTTCTTATATCATTCGAAAGAACAAAAAATTTTTTGTATAAAAATTAAATGAAAAGACTTAAAATCTCTCATTAATAAATAAGATTTATATATATATAAGATCATTGATTATGAAGAATTGTTTGATAAATCTCTAAAGAAATTGAATTAATTTTTAACAAATAACAGTCAATAAACAATTGAGATAATTCAAATAAGAGCTGCTTTTATAACCTGTTCTCTGACGAAATATGACAAATTTAGAAGTTTTATCCTGCTCGTTATTCATCCGTAGCAAATATGTTCACTGATATATTATCTTTTCGATATAATATATAGATCGACATCGAATTATTATTCGAGAATAATTTAACAAATTATTGAAGAAAATGTCAATTTAGTGTTCGATAACTGTGATATTGACTGAAAAAGGAATTTTTTCCGTTCGAAAAGAATTTCACAGAAATTTTTTGTTTGTGTTCTTGTCAAAAATGATTGTAAAATATAAACATTCTTGGGTGTGGTGGATGGGTGTATGTATGAGTATCAAATCAAAAGCACACTCTCTCATATCCACACCCTTATTACTTGCGATACCTTTCTTTTGTTGAGACTTACTCGATGCAGCATTTAATTTAATAAAACAACTTCCAGAAACTATAACTGACTTAGCTGATGAATTACTATCGATGTGCGGTATAAAATGTCTTCTATCTCTAACAGGCATACCATATATTTTGGATCATGGTTTAACACTTGAATTACCTTATGAACTGTCAGAATGTGCTGATCAAAATGAAAAAAATCATGTTAAGCCACAACTAATTCAACAAAAACTACCCATACTTATAATTCGTCATGGTTATGATTGTTATGGGATGCGTTCTTGGCGAATTAAAGAGCGAACAATTTTGGATGAATTAAACAAATGGATGAGCCGTTTACCAGTGGCAGATGTGCATGTTGATCAGCAGGAGAATACTTAATTGTTTTCAATTGTCAAGAACTTTATGCATAACTATTTTTTCTTCCTTATATGAATGAAAAGACAAATTCAGAACCATTCATTAATTGAATTTTGTCATACCATATATCTCATATATGTAGATGGGTATATGGCGTCTGTGCATGATGTAGGAATGCTGGTGGCAAGGATGTCATTCATATTTTATGTGATACGCCTGTTCGTCACTGAAAATATCAAAACAAGCATATAAATGAGTGGATGTGGACAAAATATTAACATTCATTCTTTTGATAAGAAAAACATTTGAGCTGAGAAACTTGAAATTCGATTTTGAGGGAACTTCTTTGATCATGACTAAAGATAGACAATTGACAAACTGAGATTGAATTCGAAGGATGTGGGTGTTGATGTGGGTATGGTGTGCGTGTGAGTGAGAAGAAGACATACGCCCACACCCACACCCACACCCCTTTTTGTTATGTTGTTTGTTGGTATAGTTCATAGCAAGTACAAATGAAGTTTTATCGAAGTACAGAGATGAGAGTAATACATTTCTGTTTACTTCGCCATTATTGTATGCGGAGCAGGATTAGGAGAAGGAGACGCAAGCGTCACCTCCTGTAAACTTGGCCTTGCCCCGTGTGGCCATTTGAAATCGCCTCTCCTAAGGAAAAATACTGGATAAAATATTACACTTCGTAATAAAAAAAAACTTTTCTTCCAGTTATATCAATTGTACTGCATGAACAAAGTAATTGATATAGGCATTTCAGAAGCACTCATGCTCTTACATCGCTACATGAGCGATCGTAATCGCATTTTCTACACAATCAATAGCGATAAAATCTGTATGACGGGCATCGGTGCTCAAATCGGTAACTACTTCTATGAGGGCATGGCCTACAAAATACACAATTCACCCGTTTCTGATACAACGGCTCTGTATCGTTACCTTGGTCCCTGAGCTATCCATTTTTACACAACTCACTGGGAAAAAATCAGAATGCGCATGCCAGGCTCAATGGTCAGATCTTGGGCTTTGGCAGGGATTACCGGATACGTGTACATTCATCAGCAACCGGGTACTATGCCTCTCCATCGCTATTTCAAATGGGGTCCAAGGCATTCCTATACAACTAATTCGAATGAGATTGGCAGAGTAATACGTGGTATGTACGGCAACTACGAATACCAGTATGAGGGAGTGGCTAGCTATGTGGTACAAGTAGAGGAGCATGGATCGCAGCTCTTGGGAGGGCACTTTGCGTCTCCACGCCGTGACTCCGATATAAAGAGTTTGTGACACGTGAAAAACACTTAGAGCGGGCATGATGGACGTACCAACAGTGATAACGCGCTGAATAAAAATCAATCGTTCCGAAATTGCATATTGCTGCACCATGGATTGATCTTTGGACCTTTTATGATGTGTGTATTACAAAATGCTAGCCAAACTCACTGAAAGGTCTGAAACTTGGGTAAGCTGTTGAATAAAATATCTCACAACAAATTTGTAGTTTGTTTTCCACTTTGAGAAGTGGTCGGTATTGTTCGTAAGGTAGGCAGAAATCTGTTACCATAGATTGATCAAACACTGATAAAGCTATAAGCAAGCTAACATCTCTCTAATCATTTAATGAAATTTTTCTTGTTGTTTAACTCAGTCGTTTATTTCCGCTTGATTTTTGTCTACATGTACTTTAGATGTCCGTTTCCGTAATGAGATGATTTAGCCGTGCATATGAACTATGTGACACTATAAGTAACATTACCAGGTAGATAATTCATCGAATTGATGTATACGAAATCGATATATTAATGAAGAATATGAGAGCTGTCAGAGATTTGTTTTACGGCTTATAAATAAATGTAATAGAATATTTGTTCGGGTAGAGTATCTGATGACGCATCAGTATAATAAATGTAATTATTAATTAGGAAAAAGTAGCGAGATGATAAGAAGAAGAGAACAGGTAAGAGAGGAGTACAAAAAGAAAAAAAGACAAGAAAAGAAGAAAAGGAGAAAGTCAGAGAAATGTAACCAGAGAGAAGGAAAAATGAAACAAATGAAGCAGCAGAGCATTTGAAGTATGGCATGAAAAGAAAAAAGAAAGGCGAACAGAAAAAACAAAGTAAAGTCATCGCAAAAAATCATTTTTCGTCCGTCTTGTGGGTGCCATTCTTTATTTTATATTGATCTATGAATAAGAGTCACGCCAACATATATCACTGATGTTTCTGTTTTATTCGCCTCACAGATGAACAATGAATAAGATATCTTATTCATTGCTATTTTATACTTCGAAACGGCGTTTTACTACAACAAACAATAGTTTTAGACAATATAAACTGTTTTAAACGTCAGAGTGCTGTTTCTTGAACTACCTAGATAGTAGACTGCGTTTACAAAAGCTAACTTGTTTAGAACGCATTGTGCCATTAGATTTTAATCACTTTTGTACTTTATCCAACAAGATTTTCTCATAGAATCTAGAGTATATTTCTACGAAGGAAATCGGCTTGAGTTTGTTTCGTGCTTTGAAACTTCTCCCATTTTGTTTCAGTTGATAATTTTAGTCATTCTTCGATCTTCGATGAAGTGACTATTATTCAAGCATTCGTGCAAGCATTTGCATAGGTACTGGATGAAAATTGGAAGTGGTTCTTCAATCATAAAGTTCCAGCTGTTATACCCTCCGGTAGGTTTTTTTTACGTTTAAGTTCATGAATGAAACATTGTTTTTCACAAATATTTTCAGATCTTATTTTCTGATCACACAGGGACCATGTTGTCGAGATCTCGCTGTAGTTTACGACGATTTGAGCATCTTGTGTAACAAGATGGCTCAGAGTCCGTAATGAAAACATTTTTTTCTACTTATCTTCTTCTAGTACTAGTGCTTATGAAGTTTAGTGAGTACTTTTGACAACTAATTATTGAAGAGTATGGAGACATAAGTCCTACGTAAGGAAGATTCTTCCAAAAAATAGTTTGTCTCGTCTATCAATGTTATCTTTGTTGTTGCGTGGTTCCAATTGATAGCTACTTCCACTTCATCCCATGCACTGTAAGCCAATGCATATAAATCTGGTGAATTTGATGACGAACAACATTTCGAAATGAACGCAAGAAGATGATCAGCATAGTGTTCTTACATTCAGTTACTGCGTGCAATATCTGAATATTTGATACATCATTTTGCTGAAATTTATCGTTTGAGCTTAATTTTTTTCTTTTGTGAACATACTCAATGGTTCGTTGTTTGATCTGTCTGTTTGAAAAACAGACATGGTATTAATGTACTACTGATTTTACGTTCATGCATGATTAAACTCTTAAGAGACCTTAGAAATCGATATTATCAGCGCTGTAGATCATTTTTATGCCTACTTTATGTTGAAATCACATCGGCTAAATCACGATTATTTTCCGTCTATACATTCACCATTTTCATATTTATTTTTGACACAGTTGCTTATATCTCTGCATTTTAAAACAATCGAGTGGGTGTGGGTGTGGGTGGGTGTAGGTGTGGGTGTGGGTGTGGGTGGGTGTAGGTGTGGGTGTGGGCTGTGGGTGTCTGTGTCGGCGTTGGGTGTGGATGAAGAGAAAAGCTACACCCACATTCACACTCAGACCCACCTACAACCACACATCCACACTCACACCCCACACTCACACTCACACCCACACACCCACACTCACACCCACACACCCACACTCACACCCACACCCACACCCACACCCACACCCACACCCACACCCACACCCACACCCACACCCACACCCCTCGTCACCGTACTCCCAATTCCAAATATGTTGATGATTATGTTTGTCCAATAATTAGTCCAAACTTATTATCTCAAATACTTTCGTCAAAAAGACCACTTTCATCGTCCAATGATACTATTTCAGCCAATGTGACGAAAAAAACATCTCACCATGAAGGAAAAAAAAAGAAAACAATGCTGACAAATTCAACCGACGTACATCGGGATACATTAAGCAAACGACCATTTACCACAACACGTGGCAGTCTTAATTTAACCTGGCCAAGATATGGTATTAACAATGGCACTTATGCAGGTCAATCATTTTCCATCACTAGAACATGTCCTGTTGACAAAGGTCTATTCGTGTTGTACCATGCCTACAAAGCTGGCAACGATAGGTTTCGCAATCTCTTCGAAAATAACACTCGATGCTTTTACTGCTCTTCGTCAAACATTTGAATATGTTGAAAGCCATGACTGGACCATGACTCGGCTACATTGGCTCGTGAGACATGAACTGCTCAATGTGAAAAATTATGATGGACAGTACGACTTACAAAATACATGAACTAAAATTGTTTTCGATTACGTGAAGCCCATGCAAGAATTTCATATCAATTCCGAATGTACATGTATTGCCTGTCCAAAACGAATGCGTAAACATTCAAGTGTCGATATAACATTACGGTAAGTTTTTGAATATATAAAAGTGCACAAAATGGATTATCATTAAGAAAAGACTTGAAATTCGGATTTTAGTAATTTTATGACCGAAAATATATAAGTTCATAAAACAATAGCTTTTAGAAACAAAACATAACTAAAATAAATGTTTGCTATGACGACGAAAGAACATGAATAACTATGTTTTGCCTTATAAATGCATAAGGTTATCACAGAAACCTTATTAAAAATTTCGTCGTTCGAGTTGTCAAGGTCTTGCGAGAACCTAATCTTTTGTAAAAACACTTGAGAAGCTTCTAATCTTTGTTATATAATTAAGATACTTTTCATAGATCCGATATAGTGAATCATTAGAAACTTTTCTTGTATAACAACTTCGTTTTAATTTTCTTTTTCAACTATGATACTTTTTCTATCAACATTTTCGAAATCCATTTAGTAAAATCAACAAGCAATTTCCGAATTATATTGAATCCTTCACAAATGATTTCATAGTTTCTTGTGGTGCTAATCTTGGTCCTAATGAGCCTCACAGCTATCCTGACGATTATATTGTTGACAACCGTTATCCAGTTACTGATGTGACAACGAATACTACCAGCATTAAGAAACAATTCTGTTATTTTTTTTAATATTCATATCTGAAATATATAAATTTAGGAAGCGATATATATGTCAAGCACCACGCACCATATATATGCAACATTTAAAGTATGTGTCACCTTTTGTGATCATTAACGTTGAAACAGATAAACCACTAATGGTGGGACTGCCTGATCCATTATACATTGGTCCACATGAGTAAGTTAATCTACCCAGGCTTCACAAATTTCTCGGAAACTTCTATGTTTAGATATCATCTCTCGGGCGGCTTTAATAACACGCACAATCACTTCACTGCAATTATAAAAACAAATGACGGTACTTATGTTCGTTTTAATGATATACATCCACAAGGCTGTTTTTCACACGATAGGCTGCTAACAGTCATTTTTGTTGTTTATACTTTGCGTATTTAGGACTTTTTCTTAGCAATAACCTAATGCTATTCGATTTCATGTGTACGTACAACTTTATTATTGTTCCATATGCATGACTAGCGCTCTTGTTCTCGCTGCTGATATTTCATGCTACTTATTGTAACTCTTGTGCATGCTTCTTATAGACAAAACTGGTTGAAACTTAATGCTTATTACTTTTTTGTTTTTCTAACTTGAGTTTTTGATATTGTAACCGTTTATCAAAATCACTGCGTCATATGAATACTGTTTTCAACAATGCTTGCATGCTATCATTATATCTACAATATACATTCTTTTCGCCTAGTTCATCGAAGCTTTTGAATTTTCTTCGGTAAAAAAAAACATACCGCTGTAGCAATCAATCTGCATTATCATGTGACTCAAAAAGCTTACCGAAATCAGAACTGTTGACTTTCATGAAACTTGTTCATCACCTTAAAACACAAAGGCGAACAAAATCCATCAATAATATGCAAGAAGCTCTCCTAAAATTGCAAAAGTCCAACAAACCTATCCACAAGTCACCCATTTCATAGATATTCTGCATAGCGTCCAATCATCGGTGGGTCGCATGAGAGAAGAAGATTCTTTAGACGTCCAGTATTCGTACCACTGAAACCCTCCGTCACCAGACCAATATGTTACGAGTGAACTAATAAACCCGATATTAATAGACTGAAAATGAAGCTTTCAATAGTAAAATCTACAAAACCAGGATACAATAATTGCTCTGCGCAGAAGCGCTGCTAAAAACTCAGTAAACCATCCCTCACCAAACAATGTCTTTTTCAATACCCACCAATACATAAAACGAAATTTTCACCTACCATTTCCCTTTCCACAGGCAATGCACAACGTTGCAACAAACCAGCGAGAGCTTCTTTCCAAACCTAGGCGGCAAGTTTCAACATCTTCAGCAACAGTGATATTTTTCGTTCGTTTTTCCTTACAACATTATCCCCTTCCACAGTAAATCAACTTTCTCCTACCACTGGTTCCACTAGAAAATAAACACAGTTTGCACAGCAAATCGAGAAAACGCTTACAATCTGGAACTGGTGGTGGGTGAGATATTTCGGGTATAACCCTTCCTTTATGCTGAATAGCACGAGATGAAAATAGCGCCATCGGATGCAGAATTAGATTCTGCATCTAACACACTCAAGTAGAAAGTTAACACAAGTCGTAGAGCGAATCGGAACAAGAATTACACCCGAAATCAGGTGTTGGACCCGGTATTTGGCATGTAACCCTGTATTTTTGCCCCATAACAGCACCTAGAAGTAGTGTCATCAGATGGAGAATTAAATTCTGCATCTGACACACTCAAGTAGAAAGTTAACACAAGTCATAGAGCGAATCCGGACAAGAAATACAGGATAATTGTGGTCGTTGCACGGGAAATAAGACAGTATTTCGGGGAAAAGTGGTGGTTTTTGCCTGATGACCGCCCTTGAAACATGTATCATTGGATAGAGCACAAAATTCTTCACCTAACACAAGTGCTTAGAGAGTTAACACAGGTAAGAAAGCGAATCCGGACAAGAAATACTCGAATCTGGTGTTAACTTTACTTACGTGCATCTTGTGGTATATTTCGCTTTTTTAATACAGTGTATTAGGTAGTGAAAAAATGAAATGGAAAAAGGAACTTCTTTTTGTGTTTGGAAGAGCAAAAATAATGCAAAACTAAGTACGAAAATTCATGTATTTCAATCTTGTCGATGTATTTCACCACTAGATATAGTTAAAGAGTTGAAACTTTTAGGAATACAAGATCTTGATTAGATATATATGTGATAAAAATTTCAGGCCTATACGCCAAAGTAAAGTATAAAAAATACTATTAACAATTTATCCCCGGTTATTATGGGACACCCTTTATCGCTATTTCGGAAAATATGAAAAGTGCGGAACTGTTTTAGAGAGATCCTTCTTTCTTCCCTTGCCGGTTGGCTTATACATGTCTTATAAAAAAATAAGTAATATACAGGTTGAAAGAGGAGAAGATGCTCTATCAAATGGTAAAAAAATTTTCTTCTCAGAACCGTGTTTATGAAAAAATTCAAGGGACGACATTTTGTACCATTACTTTTGCATCGTATGTTATTTTACTTGTGCATCAAAGACTCGTCCCACTCTGCATGGTTCTTGTTGAGTATCATATAGAATAAATCTAGGTGAGGTTTTCTAAAAATGTTAATGAGAAATTATAATTAATAAAAAAAATAGACCTCTTCCTCAACATTTTTTAATTTAAGACGAACATTTTCTCCACAAACACAAGAATCAGTTTCAATATCTTCATAATAAATATGTGTAACTTGAACACGTGTTCGATTTGGCATAATTACACATCGATCACCAACTCCACAACATTCTGATGCAATTTTGCCCATAACAATTGTACCCATTTCCTACAATAAACATTTATTTTTTGTTTTAAAAACAAACAAAACACAAACTTTGTATCAATCTACAATTGGTATTCGAAGTGGACCATCAATACTACGATTAAATGATGGAATATTATCCAAATATTCAATAACAGTTGGTTCTCTGCGAATAATAAATAATTTTATTTAAGTATTTTCTCTAAATAAATCCTTACTTATACTAAGGTACAATTTGTTCTCCAGGATGTTCTTTCAGTATCGCTCCACTGATTCCACTACATGACATAAAAATAGTAGCTTCATCAGGTTTAAAATCACATTTTTTTAAGATAAGGTGTTAGTCTATCTTTAATTTCTTCATATCTCGCTTGATCCCAATTAACAGTTGGATCATCTATTTTATTAATTAGAACAACTAAATAACGAATACCATACAGCTGTTTTAATTAACATAGCATGTTCACATGTTTTACCACCACGTTCAAAACCTGTTTCAAATTCACCTTTACGAACAGAAATGATCTAAAATTTTAATTTTATATTGAAAATATTTCGAAAAAATAATAAATTACAAGAATAGCAATTTTACTTGTGCCGCTTTACCAATCATATTTGAAAGAAAACATTTATGACCAGGTGCATCAAGAATAATAATGTTTTGTATCAGTTTCAAACCACGGTCGACCAACTTCAACAGTTCTCTTTCTTCTTCATTTGTACCTAATGTCCATGATAAATACTAAGATTCACGAGATTTTTCACGAGCTTCATTTTGATATTTTTCTAATGTTCGTTTATCAACTTGTACTGTTAAAAACCTAAGAAAAAAATAAAGAATTTTTTATAGAATTTCTTTAAACAAAATAAAATTTACATAAGTTGTCCACCAATGGTAGATTTTCCAGCATCAGCATGACCACAAAAGCCAATATTAACAGGTTCTTTTTTTTCGTACAACATCTCGTTTAACAACAACATTTTTCTTTTCTTTTGGAACTGTTGAACTAGTAGCTATATTTGTTTTATTTATTGTTGTTGTTAGTATTGTTGTTGCTGTTGAATCATCCATTATTCCTAAATATACAAATAAAAATTAAATTAAAATAAAAATATTGACATAATGAAAAACAAACTATCATCATCATCATCATCAATAAATTGATTTCCTTCTCTAGTTGAAAAATCTTCTTCCATTTGTTGTTGATTCAATTTGATTTGTATTCATAGTTACTTGTTCATTTTGATTGACTTCGTTTCCATGTGGATGTTGAACAATAACTGGTGTTGAAGGTGAAGTTTTAGGTATTGGCGTTGTTGAACATTTGATGCTTTAGAACCAAATGAAAATCTTGAATTAAATGAAGGAACAAATTCAACAGCACTAACATTTAATCCACCAAATTTTATTTTTGTTCATGATATTGATGAATTTTCTTCTTGTTGATCCCAACTAGATAGAGGTTCGTTCATTTTTATTCAATCGAATCTATTTGAAGAAAAAAACAAATTAACAATATTTATTTGTAAAGAAAAAGGAAATTTTAAAGAAACAATCAATATGAGTGTCGAAAATATTATTGTTGATTACAGGAAAAATGTCAAACGTCGTTTAGCATTATGCCTTCCTTTTTATTTTGTATACATCCGACAGAGAACACAAACTCATTCAATTCATAACCAAGTCTTTTCATTCATGTTTCTCTTCATACAAACATTTTTATTTGCAAATAACTCGATCTACAACAAATTGCAAGATAAATTAAAAGGAACATGGCATAGATGGATTCAATGCGTTTATCTAACCTTATCGATTAATTCAGATTGTCAGATAATATTATTTGACAAGAAAATTTTCTTCATTCTTTCTTTTATTGAAAAAAAAAATATTCTTTTTTTCCTTCACAATTGGCTGTCTATTTCAAATTTTCAACAATGTTGGTCAAAAGATATTATTGTATTTTGTCAAAGATATATCAATATTTGTAAGTTTTCGGATAATATCATAGATAAGCACATATTGTGGCAACTGCGACTTGTAAGTTAGTGACAGAATTTATAATTTCATCATTATTAGCAATCATTAATGACGAAGATGTCATAAGTGATAAACCAATATTATTTGTTGTTCAAATCAAAGTTTTTGATGTTAATGACGTGCGTTGTGGCATTAATGACGATGTTTTCACCGTTGTATCAGTTGTTGTTCTTGATGTTACATATCGATATTGATTACTTAATTATTATTCAAGGAAATAAAAGGTCTGTAAGGAATCTATTTAACTGATTGAAACTTTCCATCTAAAGATCTAATTAATCAATGATATTTTTTATTTCTTGTGCATTTAACAATTTCATTTTAATTCTTATTTTCGTTATCCGGTTAAATTAATCAAAACGGTTTTTTATTGTTATTCAAAGAAAATATTCTTTTTTTAATTTAAATGTTTATTTCAGTTTTTGTTGGAAACAAATGTATAACAAAAGTACTATTTCGTGAATCTTTGGATATTCTTAATGAAAATAAATATAAAATAAAAATAGAGAAAAAAAAAGTTTTTATTCGATGATTTTAAGAACTTTTCCAACAGCAACAGGTCCATTTTTATTAAGTAATGCAAATCGACCAAGTCGAGGAAAATGTCTAAATTGTTCCATACAAATAACTTGTTCTGATTGTGATAATTCAAATCTTACAATTGCAACTTGATCTTGTTTTATAAATTTTGGTTTTTTTCGAGTTGTTTGACCTGTTTTAGGATCAATTAATTTTATTAATTCTTTTAGATAAACTCGAGTAACAGCAGCATGAATACGAAGAACAGCTATATAACCTGGATAAATTTTCGATTGATGTTTAATTATCATCACCTAGTTTTCAACATATAAATATACATTTCAATTATTTATTTACTTAGTTTACTTCTGATTCAAAGATTCTCCCAACACGACATGGTTTTTGCTGAGCATCGCATAAAATAAAACCAGGTGAGATTTTCTAAAAAACTTGATTAGAAAATGATAATTAATAAAAGAAGGAAACGTACTTCTTCTTCAACGTTTTTTAATTCAAGTTGAACATTTTGTCCATAAACACCAGAATCAGTTTTACTGTCTTCATGATAAATATTTGTAATTTCAACACGTGTCTGATTTGGCATAATTAGACATTGGTCCCCAATACGACAACTTCCTGATTCAATTTCACCCATAACAATTGCACCATTTTCCTATAAAAAAATTGAATTTTTTATTTTAAAAATAAAAAAAAAAAAACTTTATCTTGTTCAACGATGGACATTCGAAATGGAGCAATAATCATATCATTACGTTCTTGTAAAGTATCAAATTGATTAAGAAATACATTACTAAAAAGAAAAAATTTATGAATTTTAAACATTAAGATGTTTTTGTTCTATAATATACAGAGAATTTTGTTTTCGTCGAAGTTTGCTGTTCAACTTTAATAATTTAATTAAATTAACTTTATCATTATCATCGACAATTAATTTGACCGAATTTTCACATTCTAAAAATTCAATAAAATTTTCCGTATACCGATTATTGATATAATTGTCGATGTAACAGTCAATAATATGATGAGATTTACGATTGCGATTTGTTTTATTAATAAGTAGATCAATAAAATCTGGTTTTGCTATTTTTGATTGTTTAACGAAATCGTTTATGACATTATCAATAGTTGTTAATGGTCCTTCATCTAATGCAACATCGGATTTTATTATTTCTAGATAATATTTATTATAAAATTTTTGAAAATCATCTGGTTCTTCTGAAATTAAATTTGTTTGTTCTTCGTTTTCTTTTTCCGACTGTTTTGTTACTTGTTCTATGAACGGAATAAGTAAATGAGCAGATGCTTCTTTAAGTACCTGCATGCTGGATTGTTTTCTACAAACAAATATTTCAGAAATTTAAAAAAAAAAAAGATTATATTACCTTAAATCAATCATTTCTTTACGTAATTCATCTAATGCACTATTTTGATGTTCATATTGATGTTTTACGTTCAATAATTCTTTTTTCATTTGATTAATTTCATTCTAGAAGACAAGACAGGAATAAAAAATAAGTTAACAATACTAAGACAATAACATACTGATAGTCGGGAATAACAAGATTCAAGAACACCAATAATACGATTAATTTTTGCTGTTTGTATGTCGTTCAGATCAATTAATTGAAGTAAATCTTTTATTTCGTTTAGTACATTTTTCATATCATTTAATAAAGAATTGTCATCGTTGATACATTTTGTAATTTTTTGACAATAACCTTCAATAAGTTTTAAACAAGTTAAAGGAAGACCGTGTGATTTTCTACAAATATGAAGTAAATAATTAGTTAAACCAAGAAATTTTTTAATGTCATCTGTTTCATTTTCTTCTATTAATATTGAACAAATTTCTTCAGCTTTTTCAAAATCTCCAATTGATTCAAAATACATTGCATTTAATGTGATTAGAAGAGGACTAGTTTTTTCAAATTGTTTTTCTATTTTTTGAAGACATTGATGAGCCATTGGTTCTTTTGAACAATGTAATGCTGATTTGAATACTTGTTCAAGTATTAACCATTTTTCATCTCCTAATATTGATAAATCACATTCAGATAAAATGTTTGTCCATAATTCAATTATTTCATCGTGTAAATGATAATCTTTATCACGGTATTTACGAAGTTTTTCAATAGCTGATTCCATTTTGTTTCCTAAAGATGATGTTAAATTATTTTAGAATAAGAAAAAAATATAAACGACAGAGGAAATGTGATATGGATCAATCCTTTGTCCAATACTTCAAATTTTGATAGGTTACCAACTATAGCCAATACGACTAACATTAAGATTGGAAGTCGATAGGCACAGTCATCTACTAACCCTTGACATCTTCTGCTGCACCACATACATTTTTTCCTGTAGCTTACCGAATTTTTGGAAGTCTTCAATATGGTTAGTTGCTTTGGAATGGCTTCTCACCATTCTCGCACTTATTTCTATTGCAATGATATTTCCATTGGTATCTCCTCATCTGAAGCAATTGTACACTCACATATATCGACATGTGACCAGTACCTCTTGAGCGCAAACAACTTACTATTTTAATAATGAATGAATTATTGCAAACATTCAAAAAAACCTGTCGCCACATATACTGGTGTGTGTGTGTGTGTCAGGAGTGAACTTACACCCACAACCACAGCCGCAAGGTGGACGGACCAGTGAAAAGTCTTATCATCATGAACGACACTAGTATCATCACATCATTGAAACCAAATTGAGCAGAGTGTGCTGCATTTGCATTCTATATCTATCCAGTAATTCTCTATGAATAACGGTGTATGCGTATGTAAAGTAACCTTGATACGATGCATTAGAAGAATCGAATGAAATAACATTGATTTTTTTCGTGCTATTCAAAAACATAGTGATAAATGAACCAAGATGAAATAGATATCGACTAATGTAAACATGAACACTGCTGTGAAACTTGGTGATCGAAAAGATCTCAATGACTGCCTTGTATTATTGACATTTTAAACCCTGAAAAATTATTCGATATGTTTGTGCAATATTTATTATGTGTCATGTTATTTCGAAAGAGAAACAAAAATGAGTTACTCATCAAAATGATATATCCCCATATGTGACCTTAAGATGAAGAAAGAAAAGCCAAATAGAATTGACTCGTTCATATGCTGTTACAAGTTTATTCACCTTTCATAAAGCAACATAACATAGAATCATTGTTAAACATAAAAAGAAATGTCATAAGATAAAGAACGGAAGATATTTTTAGGATGATTCAACTTCCCTCAAAAAACGCATTCGATTCACTTGAAATTCTCAACATATGTACATCTCATCACTATAAGTCATTCTATGTGTGAGTGTAGATTGAGATGTTGCGTATGAGTGTGGATGTGGTCTCCGCTTTAACAACACAGCCACAGCCATACCTTCGCATCTGATAGAATTGATAATGTGGAATGGAGTTATTCCATAGTATGAGTAGACCTATGTCTTAGTATTTGCTTCTGATCGCGATAATTACCTCGATATTGATTGATCAAATACTGTTCTTTCTATTTGACATAAGGATTCCGAATGTATGATAGAAATCTTACAAAACCCTAATCATTAGTCGTTAGTTCCGAAAACGAACGCTTATGTTGTTAATACATCAGGATCAGAGTTGAAACCGGACAGGTTTTTCTGTCTGGTCCGGTCCGGCCAGCAATCGGCCGGACGAAATTTACAACCAAACTGACAAAAATCCGGCGAAAATAAACGATCATACAAGTATCTGTTCACATAAAATGTTGGTGGAGAGGAATTGAATATTCACACGCAGAAATCCGAGCTAGAGAGCGATCAATTTACATTTACGAAAAATTTATAAATCCAAAAATAAATTTTAAACAATTTAAATTTAGAATAAATTTTAAAAAGTTTTACTTATTTTGAATTTAAATAATTTTACAAAATTTACATTTATGCAAATCCAATTAATTCAATTTAAAATTATAATAAATTAACAGCAAATCGTCACTCCTAATCCGAACTGGAAACTAAAACTTGGGACTGAAACTCTTCCTTCATATTTTATAGCAAGGTGTGTCAACTTCTCGAGCCCGACATCGATATAAATTAGCTATTCAGATCAACTCTGTTTTTCATCTTAATTTCAAAAAAGAAAAAAAACAAGTTTATAACAAATCTAACACAAATATGTAAATATTTATTTTTCTTGATTCAGGCAGCTACTTAAACAGAACAAGAGAATAAATTATTTGATCAAGCTTAAATTGAGCGATACACGAGAAAGAAATCGATTGAGATATAAAGAGAACAATCAATCGTTTATAGTCAAGTCGAAGACAAGATATCTATTGAGTCTTTCGCAAACTCATTCTTCTGACTTGAAAATATCATTAAAAAACCGTTTTCAGTAGAGAAAATTCCTGAATGCAAAAAACAATTTTGTAATGATGAACTTGCAAAAATCCGGTCCTGTCCGGCCCGGTTTAACTTCTTGTCCGGTTCGGTCCGGTCCGGCCGGACCGGTTCCAACTCTGATCAGGATATCTAGTTCTCAATAGTGTCAAAACTGTATGAAAAGAAAATTAGTGTTTATCGAAATTTAAAATATTAATTGATACTAGAATATTTTCTAAAATTACAAAGAAGTTCATCTATTTTTCAGATCGTTACATCAATTATTTCACACATCAGCTAGCGTTTACTATTCATAATAAAGTTTGTCTGTTATTATTAATTTTCATTCATCCTAATCCAACTCGGTTTTTGATTAAACTAAATAATTTCAATACTTTTCATCAAGTTTCTGTTTCTAAAAAGACTAGTGTATATTTAGAGTCATCAAAATTTTCTTGCTTTGACAATATAGTTGATGTATCTTTTTAAATTTAATCAAAATGATCGGATGTTTTCATTTATGACTAATTCTTTCTCATGAATTATTTCTATTTTCTCGACTAGAAATTGATGCGAAATTCTTCAACTATCAAATGAAACATTGACTTCATTGATTATTATAATTAAAGCAGAAATATCTCAATATAGACCTAACGTCAGTCAAACTTCATTATCGATATACGTATATATAAGGGATGCATTGATAATTACGTAGGTTTTAATATTCAGTAAGCCTAATATTGATCAAATAACATGAATAAAACAATGATCAACATTTTTATCGATTTACTTGCAATTATCATCAGTATTAGTCATATAAAGATGATGAATACGGACGGCAGTTATATATTTATCATAATAAGCCAACTATATTTTATATTGTATTGTCTTCATTTATTGCTGAATATCTTCGTATCATCCACATGATAGCAGCGAACTAGTCGATGATAATGAATATTCTTTACATAATAAACAAATAACAAATACATCTTCATTATCGTCATGATCGCAATATGAACCATATAAATTAAAAACACTAATATTATAATCATAACAAAAACTTGAATTATTTTTCTAAGGCTGTTATTTTGTTATGTTTTTTCTTGTGTTTTCTTTTACAAACACAAATTTAACAATTAGAAAGTAGTACAATAGAGTTATTTATCAAGAATAGAATTCGTAGTTTTTCGACTATAATTAAATAAAGCATCATTCATATTGATGTCGTCGTAGTCAATATGAGGGAAATCGGAAAATATTTCCCAGTCATAATTATAATTTACTTCTGAGACCATTTACTGCATATGTTTTCAAGGCTGTGGATTTTGATTGAGGATATTGATATAGCATATAAACACATCCTGTCGAATCGAGAAACGACGAACGATATTCTCTGTAAGCTTTGCACATGATTATGCATGTATGTCCGAGGTAGTTCCGCGGAAGTATAACAGTCATGTGTGTACATTGATGCAATGGAAAAAAATGTTGTTATGCTGTCGAAAGATGAATATTACCAATTCATCATGATTTTTTCGAATGAAAAGGGACAGGCTAGTGAAATCAATTTTTTTAAAAATTACTCATGCACTTCCCATCGAACAATTAGTATTTACTTTTCACGTGACAGCTATTGAAATACAGACAAACTAATCATTTGGTAATCTCCATTAAATTCATTCAATAATTTTTTAGACTTTTATAGCTGCTGAACGGCAACTCAATATTGAAAACAAAATAAGAAAGTATTTGGTGTGTTACTTGAACAGAAAAATATTGTGTAGAGATGATTTTACTAGTGGCGCTTTTCACTGAAACTATTACTCTTAATCATTGCATTTTGATTTTTAGTAACTAATAACTATACAAACAAAATTGTCACAAAATAGACTTATTCCTGTGTCGTGACACCCAGCTTTCAGAAAAGATAGCAATACAAGAATCTACGTTTTGAGAATCTAAATCCAAAGGAATGAGCAAAGATGAATCAGAGTTACTAAATCAATACTGACCGACTCATATAGAACAAAAACACCGATAAATAGAATGAACATTATCTTAAAAGATACTACATTGATTGATTCACAAAGTTGACTTAGCTCGATTGGATCAGCGTCCTTTTGCATGTTTATGGCGATTCAAAGCAAACATCTTATGAATTAGAAAGCATCAAAATTTAGGCGTAAAAATAAGATTGAAATCAGGTGATTTTAGTGTCATTTAGTTGAGTTTGAATTATGCAATAGCCTATTCTGATCATGATTTTTCAACATATTTTTTTTAGACTTCCAATAAGTCACTTAGATAAAAAGTTTTCAACATTATCCTATGATTACCAGATTTTCTAAATTCACGGCATTACTAAGAGTTGTCTTAATTATTCTAGATTAGTTGATTGACATGAGTTTGTCTTTCAGTCAATAAGATTGCTCCTATTCGATGTTACGTAAGTCATATTAAGAGTAACTGAATCATGTAAATTCAACATAGTAGAGCATGAGTTTTGAATCTATGTATATTAGATTGATATATAACCTCTTCGGCAAAAATAAAATTGAAAAAAAAACTGCAGTGTTTGATATACTGAGTAATGTCGAATAGAGACTGTGCGCAAGGTACTCTCACCAACTATAGCAATATTTTCGAGTTAGAACAACAATGTTAAATTCTTCTCTTTTGTTCTTGAGATCTTGGTAAATTTGACTTTTCTGATTTAAGCAATATCCTTGCAAAAATATAGTTTTCTTGCGAGTGTCACAAGTTTC